TAGATGAGTGAGATCCAATAACGGCCATATTTTCAATTTTAATTGGATTTTAATCGGAAACAAACAGACTCTTGATCTTTGTACTAATTTTTTATTAGTTATTTTACACCATTTAATTATAACTAATGAATACAAGTGTATATTCTATCTTTTTATAGAGAATGAATCATGTGTTACCGATGATGATGTTGTGCCAATTAGTATGCCCAAGATGTTAAAACTAAAATTGTTTCTATCATTTTGTTTCATTGTAATAATTAGAATATAGAATTTTGTTTATTATCTATAATATATTAAATATCACATTAAATGAAAATTATTTTTTGAACGATTTTAACATTAATACAATTCAATTATTTCAATAATACATTACTTTTCATTTTTCAATATATAATAAATATTATAAAATCATAATTATCTATGAATTTCATTCTCAGTTAATTAACATTTACATAATTTAGGCTCAATTAATCTTGATTTGATGAATCTTGATCTACATGCATTTAGAATTATTATAAATGAATTTATTTCTATTCATGTATCTAGAAATTTTAATGAATGTTTAAATTCATATATTAAAAATTAATTCTTATATACCAAATATAGTATTAAAAAAAAGTTGCTCATTTGTAGTATTCCACCATCACAAAAAAAATTGAATCATAAAAGTTGAGTTTTGAGAGTATAATTTTCTTCTCTTAAATATTTATTCTAAGATTTATTTTCTTTAGTTCGTTTGAGACTCATCAAATCCTCTCAATAAATTGATATCAAATATTACTTTTACATAACTTATAAAATATTTCAGAATTATGTGTAATGCATGTTCAACTCTAACTAGTAATTGTAATGATACTCATATTTATATGTTAACATGACATTTTAGACTAATATTAATGATTTAACTTGTTTGATATATGTTATTTTTTTGTTTGTTAAATCATAGTTTTAAATCGCATCAAATCGAAAAAAGTGATTTGGTTTAGCTTGGTTTAGAAAGTGAAGTAGTTTTGTTTGTTGAAAATTTCAAATAGCTTTAAGTAGTTTAGTGTGAATATTTTCAAATATTGTCCAAATCAAACTATGTTCACCTCTCATCCAAATGTGTCTAGACGAAATCTAGGCATAACAGAACACTTCATATTTCTTGACTTAAAAATATTTTAATTAGTCTAAGACCATTTATAAATATTTTAATATTAATGACCTTTGATAATATTTAATTAGTTTATTTAACTTCAAAAACTGAAGAAAAAATTGACAAAAGAGGTTAATAATGAAAATAATTTTCCATCGACTTTGTAGGGAAAATAATGAGCAAATTGGCCGGACCCAAGCCCACACTACCAAGCCCAAGTGAGGTTCCAACCCAAAACCAATTGGTAA